CCATGAATTAGTTTTAATTCTACATACTGTAAAGTTAGCAGAATCCCATTAATTAGGATTAATTCTACATACTGTAAAGTTAGCAGAATCCCATTAATTAGTATTAATTCTACATACTATAAAGTTAGCAGAATCCCATTAATTAGTATTAATTCTACATACTGTAAAGTTAGGAGAATCCCATTAATTAGTATTAATTCTACATACTGTAAAGTTAGGAGAATCCCATTAATTAGTATTAATTCTACATACTGTAAAGTTACGAGAATCCCATTAATTAGTATTAATTCTGCATACTGTAAAGTTAGCAGAATCCCATTAATTAGTATTAATTCTACATACTGTGAAGTTAGGAGAATATCATTAATTAGTATTAATTCTAACAATACGAAGTGTGGTTCTTAACTTGTCGGTTGAGCTTTAAGTGTTAAGGTTTTTCGTTTGTTCGTTTTTTAGAACTTTCATGCCAAGGTCTATTTCCTCGTAGTCGTCTCCAATATTTTTCTGATGGTCAACAGCACCCACAGCCAACTGTTGGGCTTCTTTTATCTGACCGAATAGTAGAATTTCACCACCACTCTTAAAGTGCACGTACCCACAGGCCTAAATTGCGGAGTGTTGTTTTCACGACAACGAAACGCGTAACCGTAAGCCCTTTGACATACATTTCTGGCACGTCAACTCCTAAGCACCGCTCGACCCCAAGTTTTAATTACTATCTAGAGGATTTACATGTAAATTAATGGCAACTCTGACCACGTACGTATTCTATCTTTTCAAGATCAGGTCGTTCATTGAGGACCTCTGCCATCTGATCATTGTTTGACGATTATGGCAGCCTAGTGTGCCACATTTTAATTAACATCAAGACACGTGTCACTATAAGAAAAACTTCATTAGTAAATCTTCAAATAAATACCAAAAATCCTTGTTAGAATAGACTAACTCGGTATAAATACATTTAGGAAGATTATATAATTTTATATCTGTACTCTTTTTTAAAAGTAGGTTTTCTGTCAGTGTACATTATATTTGTTATCTAATTATATTATCACTAGCTCTTAAGATGATGGCTGGAGACGGCTTGAACTCTTAAGATGTTTTAATACGGTTTTTAGCAAAGAAACGTTGTAAACTATAACACTAAACTCGTTAAAAGCCCGCATTAGATATTTAAAGAATGGTAAATCTAAAATAAAGAAAATAAAGAATTTTGAGAAAATGTACGTCAGAAGAGATAAGCTTCTACTTTTAAATGCGTGATGGTACTTTAAAGTAAAGGGAAACAGTAAAAAGTTAACAGTTATTAACGTTACCTGAAAATCCTTTATCAGATTTTGTTTTGTTTTATGTTCACTTTCTTAACATTTCTTGTACATTTTGCTCGTTTCATTAGCGATAACCTCTCCGAGTCGAATCAATATTTTAGAAAGAGAATCTCAAATATTGACAAAATAAAAACCGACGTAACGAATCTGAGGAAGCTCTTTAAAAGGACACTATTTTTGTAGTGTATAAAAAGGACACTTTTTGTAGTGTATAAAAAAGACACTATTTTTGTAGTGTATTTTCGAATCTATAAAAATGACACTATTTTTCTAATGTATAAAAAAGGACACTATTTTTGTAGTGTACACGGGGGCTATCTGCTCTAGCCGTCCCTAATTTAGCAGTGTAAGACTAGAGGGAAGGCAGCTAGTCATCACCACCCACCGCCAACTCTTGGGCTACTCTTTTACCACCGAATAGTGGGATTGATTGTCACGTTATAAAGCACCCACGGCTGAAAGGGCGAGCATATTTGGTGGGACGGGGATTCGAACCCGCGACCGCAGATTGCGAGTTGAGCGCCCTAACCACCTGGCCATGCCGGGGCCCTAACCACCTGGCCATGCCGGGGCCCTAACCACCTGGCCTTTACTTATAGTGAAGAGTACAGTTTTTAATAATACTCTAACACTAGGGAGAATTTAACAAAGAGGAAGCACTAGTGTTAGAAAATTTATGCATTGAGAAACCGCTGTATTACTTTGCTGTTAGGTTCCCAAGTTTAATATTAGACAAAAACTGTAATATTTGATAATATGTCTGCACGTGCGTTGAGATACGTTGTATTTCTCTCTGTCTCTGTAGTACTATTTGACGGCCCACATAAGAGGGATTGTCAGACCAGAAGATCTGGACAGATATGATGACCTTATTTACAAACATAAAATCCAAGCTCTAAAGGTTAGCTTTTCACGAAACTGATATATCAAAAAATCATAATAAAAGTATTGATCCTTTGTCAACTAATATTCTATATTTTGTATAAAATAACTTTAAATTGTTCTACATTACACCGACCTACCGTCTCTAACTCCCATGTCTTTCTTGTTATTTTGTACACAAGAATAAGGAAGCTGTGAAACAGATCGCTGACCAATCAGAGGATCCTCAGCCCCTACGTACGACTTCTCCATTGGTAGGTGTCGCTGCTAATTAATATTTAATTAATCTGAGTATTTTAAATGTCACGTCAATGTATGTTAATATAAGAAAGTTATCGTTATTAATATGGTAGATATAATTAAAGTGTTATAGTTTTATAACACCAGTGTGTTGTGGAACTGAAAGAGACATGAAAATAATAAGGTCAAAATTAGTATGAACGAAACCAGTAAAATCATGATTTTTAAAAGCATAATAAATATTATACTTAATAGTAGTTAAAGTTAATTAGTAGTTAATAAGTTAAAGATATCCAACACTACAATGGAAGAACGTATTATTTCTCAGTTTTATTTTGTTTTAAAGAAATGGTTTAACTTTTTTTTTAATTTATCTAAGTTAGAGACAAGAATAATCTTTTAATTAATTCCTTGAAAATTCCACATTTCCAACAATCCAGCAGAAAGACGTTCGTTCACCACGAGGAAGCTTTCTCAGGAAAACTCCTTGTCATCGTCTCACTGTGCCAGACAACCTACTCCATCACAAGGAGGCGCCACCTGCTGAAAACGAACGAACGCCGAGTCAAGACAGTGGTGTTGACGTGGCCAACGAAACTAGGTTTAAATATACAACACCGAAAGCGACGAGGTAGGGGAGCATATACGAAATAATTATTATATTAAATACATATAAGTTGATTAATAAAAACTTAAACCTTTCACCTCAGACGATTTTTACGTAATGTAAAAGTCTCGTTCTTCATCCATTGTTCCGATAGCATTTAGTCAAATTTTCAACCGAGAATCGGAATTAGAAAATGGAAAATCAATAACGACTACTAGTGCATAAAATAGCTCATTCAACAAGAGCCCCCCAGTGGCGCAGCGGCATGTCTGCGGACTTACAACGCTAGAAACCGGGTTTCGATACCTGTGGTGGGTAGAGCACAGATAGCCCATTGTGTAGCTTTGTGCTTAACTTCAAACAAACAAACCATGGCTTTAAACTTATACGCCAGAAGGGGAAACTCAACAGAACCCCTCGCGAACTCTTGTCTGACCGATTAGTGGGATTTTATTCTCACTCTTATAACACTCACAGGACCCAAAAGTGTCGTGCGCGTTTTTTTATTTATTCATAATTATTATCACTTTTTCTTTTTTTTTATAAACGCTGGACCGTATATTTTTAGTTTGTCCCCATACGAATTGATTAAACCGAATCAGGACTCACTAGAGCCTAATCCTAAAATATTTCTGGTTTATATGTGACAGAATGAAGTCTGGTTTACTTGTGACTTTTGTATTTACATGAATTTTAAGATTTAGTATTGGTTAAAAAGCTGAAATGTTTGGTAATAACTTAAATCTACCAATTTATATCAAGAACCCTCTTAGGCTCCAGATTTCATCAGACATCAGATAAACGCCATAAATCCTATCCACTCAAATCTCCTCGGCTCCTTCCTCGTCGCTCCTTTGACGTTCATAGTGGAGCAAAAGAGTTAACTCATTCAACTTTATTTCGTCGTTTGACTCTCAGGAGACACAGTAGTGGAGGTGAAGGAGTCAATCCTGAAGAACGTCGTGAAGAAGAAGACAGAAGATGGAGTATTGGTAGCGATGTAATAGGTTCCTTTAGAAAGGAGAAACCTAAGGTTAGTAGAATAATAATTAGATGTTAGGTCCCGTGGAACCATTAAAGATAGTTAGATGACTAACCAATTGTTGGTTACATATTTGAAGGTTTAAAGCCTGAGATCGATCACTTATTGGTTGAATTGGAAGGTAAAAGCCTAGGGTAGATGATGATTTGTTGTTGTTGGTTATATTGGAAGATGAAAGCCTAGGGTAGATGATGACTTGTTGTTGTTGGTTATATTAGAAGATGAAAGCCCTAGGGTAGATGATGACTGGTTAGTTGTTGGTTATATTGGAAGATGAAAAAG